AACACTCGCACGCACTGGCTTTCATAACCATCACTCAGGAATAGACCAACCCAACTCACTTGACGGCACGCCACTACGGTGGCGCTGCTGTCGGTACTGCGCATGCGCGGACGGTACTTCCGAGTTTGGTTTCTGCGCACGTGCAGTGCCCATACCTGGTGTGGGCAAAGCGGGCTTGTTTGTAAACACTGTGTTGGTGTATACAGCGTGTAGGTCAGCCATTCAGGAGAGATGTTACGCGTCGAAAGAGTTCAAACCGCGGTCTGCATCCATTGTGACGCGGTCTCACTGCTAATACATGGCACAGAAGACGGTCTGAAAACACTGTCTGGGTGGGCTTCTTCCCTTGTATGAAGGTCATATCAGTCCTACAAAAACCGTCTGCAGGCGTTATGTATGAAACAGACATGCTTCGAAGATGACCGATGCTCGTCCGCGGACAATTTTGTCGTCATGTCTGCAGCAACATGTCTGCCGACTGCGGCTTGAGGAAGTCGCAGGTATCTTGATGATTCGGATCGCGAGAAAAGTCTACCAAAAGCCGCGAAATTCCGATTGGTTGATATTGAAAACACTCCCTAGGTGGCGCAAACCGCCTCCCTGTGTAAAGGGATGCTGAAACACTCCTTTAATAAAATTAGAGTTTTATTCTAGCACGACATGGTGCCGCAATGGCACCATGCCGTGACGTCTTTTCTGTCCTTTTCTTTAAAAAAAAAAGATAAATAAATAAAAAAATAGCAGGAGTGCACGTGCATAGTTTTGATAGACGCTGAAATGTGCGAGAGCCTAGATTCCCAAAACTCGTTGTGTGACGTCATGCTCTGCGAAGGAGTGCCTTCAGCGATACTTTATAAAGTAATTTACTGCAACTTCCTGCACCAAAAAAAAAAAAAAAATTGGATATTTGAGATTTTGGATGCCAAATGAAGACGACTTGAGTGTGTTTCCTCAAATACAAAACTGCTCGAGCTTCCCTCTATGCGTTCATCCATTCATCCAGCCACATGGCACCGATATCGAAAGTTGGCTTTCATAACCATCAGATACAGTTGAGCCGTTCAGAAGAGAGCCCATCAAAAGAGTCGAGAACGTGGTTTTGTAATCGTTAAGCGTTTGCGTAAAACCGACGCACAATGGCTGCATTCTCGACGCCGAAAGACCTCGCGGCTGTGCGCGGGCGACCCTCCGGGGTTAGTCCGATGTTTGTCGGCCGTGAGACGCCCTGGGTGTAAAAGATCGAATCGTACGGAAGCGGAGGCTGCTCGGAGGCACCCCCTCCCTCGCCGATTGGGTGCAGATCGCCGATAGCGCCCGCCGTGTTCTCTCGCAAGGTATGTTACCACAGTGAACCGGCGCCGTCTGGAAAACTCGATGGGCCGTTGTTGGCCACCGAGTGGGGGATTCGCTCAACTGGAGTAGGCCGGGAGGGACTCTGTCGACCGCGTGCTAGCCGCTAAGCCTGACAAGGAATCTACGCCGACATCGTAATGGTTGGAGATGCTACGATAGTAAGCGATAATATGTTTAGAGAGGAGACGTGCAATGGTTTGAATGAGGGCGCGTGTTGCCGCGTAGTTTGAGTCTGTTCATTGTGACGGAGATTATGCACTCGCGGAGAACTTCTGGCATTTAAGAAGTAGAGAGTTCACGTGCTTATCTCGATGGGGGTTCCAGATGCGCAAGCGCATCCATAGCCCCATAACAACATAAAATTACGATAAGCATTGACAAGGGACACCGACAAACCGCGAAGTCTCAAGCACGTGCAGCACGCACTTGAAAGCAAAGTGCCCACTTTTCAACAAAAGATTGCAAGCCTGTCAAATGTACCTTCGCGTGCATGGTGCACGTATTCGGGGTTTGTTGCTGTCGGCTGCTCTTGTTTGCCTCTCTAGTGGAACATAAAGTCGCTGGATCCTTAAAAGGTATAGCGCCATTGCCCTCCCTGCTTGCTAGCGGAACTCAAGCGGATATAAAGATGCAGACGACCAAAACCTCGCAAGGCGATTGGCTGATCGGTCTCAGTTGCCATGGCAATCGGAATTTCGGTCCTTTCGAAGCTTCCAAAGGGTCAATCGAAACCAGTCGTGCAAGATCGCTCTGGAGCTTCATCGTACCGAAAGCGTCCCTCTATGATGGACGCGTCTTTGGCAATCTGTGTGCAATCAACTTATCAATCCTGATTATCTGCCTAGATCTCTTACAATGGTATCGCTCTTCTCACGTATTTCAACCCAGGAAGATTATTTCTTAACGCCTCTAAGTACCGACACCGCATGGGACGTCGCTACGAAGATGTATGCCCTCGTTCCGCCGGTGTGTGGCTAGCCAAACCTCACGGTATTCAAGAAACGTCTCCGTAGAGCTACTCGTCACCAGCGAATTTCAATCGGCTCATCGAGAATGGAGAGGTGAAGGAGAAACCGCTCATTTCATTAACCAAAATGGCGACCGGCTTGTCAGTACTTTCTCGGGGTCCAGTGATTCTAGTGGAACCACACTAAATATATATATACATCTGACGTCATTCGCGGCCATGCCAGAATTTTATGCGCCGCGAGAGTTCGGTTCGCCGTGTTTGTTTCACAACGCAGAAGTTGTGGTTGGAAGAATCTAGTACGTCGAAATAACAGTCAGCACACAGCAATGGCGACCCTCGCAAGCTATCTGTTAGAGAAACTTGCTCTTTGCTGAAGTGTGAGGGTTCGCATCTTGTACAGCCATTGACGACTCGTAGGGTGTGGCCAAGCGTCTTTTCATCTCGGCCAATCAGAATGCTGCGTTGAGCAAATATGAACGCCAGAGGACGAGTTATCCGGTAAAACTTTGGAGTTGTGGCTAACTGTTGGAAGTAGTCATGAAAGCAAACTTGCGCTCTATTGCCACCAGTTGGCCCCGATGTCAAGGATAATCTGACTGCCAAAATTACGATTTTTTTAGTCGTGTTTTAAACAACGAAAATTACTGCCTTAAAAAAAAGGGGGGGGGAAAAATGTGTCCGGTGTCTCCGTTACAGATAGGCAGTGATTGCATTCCGACTTCTTAGTTCCTAAGGGTCCTCCACGTATATTACACCGTGAAGATTGCAATTGGGACCATTCGAGGGGGAAACGTCTTCACGAGGGATTCATGGTTGAAGTCACGCAGCCTCTCTCGGAGACAAACGCGGGAGGTCATTCCTTATTTGTGGACGAAATCTGGAGCTTGTTCATTAGTCAGTCCAATCCTAGGGGATGGTATACACTGGGAAGCGGATTTTATTATTTAAGTAAGCGAAACTTGTTTCGGCGTTTTGTACGCCCATCAGGCCATACGAAGCGATATGGAGCGCGGCCGGGTAGTCGCCCGTTAAACTTCATTGCGTGTGATGTAACAACTCCAAGTCTCGTTTTATGGTCGGGCTGATGGTATCGCACACGCTGCCGCTTCGCGAAGCCGAGCGTGGTTTTGAAACCGATTCGGGGATAAGAGAAGTGGGCCTTGATGGCCGCTCGAGTTATTCATCCTGGACGTTGATGTCCTTTTGATGAGGCTGCCGGCAGAGCTAGAACTTCCGGTGCGTAGCGGGATCTTTGTTATCCCCATGATGATCCCACCAGATTCTACTTCAGGAGGGCGGAAATTGTTTGGGCGCTTTTCACAAAGCAATCTGCGGTCGTCGCCCCCTCCCCCCCCCCCCTCCCCAAAAAAAAAAAAAAAATATAACAAAAAAAAAAAAAAAAAAAAAACGAACGAGGATTAAAGTTATTAAAGGATTTCTCTAATATTGAAGCGGACGAATTACTGGTTACATGCGAACCCTCGAAATACAATATAAAAAAAATTATCTCCAAGTTTTGATCAATCAGTCAATGTTGTTTAACACGGATATCTACCTAATCAATCGCGTAGTGTTTGTCATGTCTTTGCAGAAGGTTCAGGAAAGCCTACCCTAAGGAATCGTGGGAAAGATAAAAAAAAAAAGGGGGGGGGGGGGGGGGGGGAGCGGGGTTATGACCGTTCTATACTTCTCGAGAGTGCACGCTTACCTTGGATTTAGTTCCAACGGCGCACACGCGACATCATTAACGAAGGCTTCGACTCGAAGCCTACATATGTTATATTCACTCCGAGTAAGATTGTCCGAATGAAACAGTTAAGCAAGTTGAGAAAACATGTCGCTGTCACGTCTCCAAAATAAATACCTCCCCCCCTTTTTCTCTTAGAAACAAACATAACAAAATTTAAAACAAGCAAGGCTAGCATCTTTAGTTGTTGGTAACGATATGGGCAATGGATAAGGATTCGCTGGACATTGTGTGAATAATTCTTTGCGATCTCTTCTTTGGCTGGTGGAAATATCAACAAACACTGGAAAACTTCACGACTTAGCTCCAAAATCACATATCACGAAGACGTATGCCATGTGTTGTATACGACCCAGAGAAACTGACGTTGCTCAGAGTGCTGGATATCGAAGTGTCCGTGCTTTCAAATAAAACAGCCCCCGTTCAGGCGACTGATGGCAACGGAGACAGATGTATAGCAAACAGCTGATCATTTTTGTAGTGTCCGGTGGGCTAACTTCACGTTGCTATAACTTGAAGAATAAGATTATAATTATAAGTGCCGAATAAATTAAATACTCTGCTTTGAGTGCTCAGGATGAGTCTGTCGGGTCACCGTATAGCTTTTTGTTGATGATAGTATGATCTGAGACGAATAAGGCGTGCAAATTAGTGTAAAAGCCACAACCAAGGACGGTGTGAGAGGATTTAACTCGAACTCCACCTGAATCGTCACCTTACTTATTTGTAGCGAGTCCCATCAAATAAAAAAAAAAAAAAACGCTTCAGGGACTTGCGTGTAGTCACCGGCTCTGCAGATGCACAGCTGTCAAGGATATGGCACCGGACAACAGAAAAAAAAAAAAAAGCCTCATCCTCCGTTGGTTCCAGAAGGACACAAGCACCCCTATCCGAAGAGGACCTCAAGGACACTGGGGTCGCGGTACCTACCGTCAGGTCCTGACCGGGGAAGATGACTCTCAAGATGAGCGGGCGACGGGGGAGCGGGCAGTCCTCGGGGATGGCACGCGACCAACAGCAGGAGACACAGCACAGCGGAGGAGGGTCCCCAGAAGAAGCAAAACCACACACACGGAGGGAGAAAGGAGTGAAGCAGACGGCGTACAAGAGGCGAGAAGACTATCCGCGCAAAGTAGACCTGTCCCTTATATACCTCCTCCTTCGCCGGCGCTGCCCTAGTTTCGCCCTTTCCAGGCAGCAGGAGAGCGTGGCGGCCTGCGCGCTGGGAAGGGGGTCCTCTTACTTTCGACGGCGTGCAGACGGCTTGCTGTGCGCGGCTTGGCTGTCCCACATCTTCCCAGAGCTTGCCTTAGGACCGCCGCCCTTCCGGAGCGTCTTTACGCATTTCAGGACTGATCCGGGGACGTCTGCCGCGGGTCTTGAGGTCGTCAGCTGCCTCTCGCCAGGACGGCACTCTGGGCTGGGCTAGGGCTTTTTCGAGGCTCATGCGCGTTGGGGATTCCTAGGCTGTGCACCCTTTCGTTGTTTAGAAATAAGCACGTCTTCAAAAAGGTGAAGCGCCTACTCATACTCCGTTCCTCCCGCTGCGAGCATTCCAGGGGGCTATGCAAGACGGCGGGGCGAAAAGACTGGGACATCGCAGCAGGCGGCGATCTTCCCCTCGTCCCGCCTCGCCCCGCCGTCTTGCATCGCGGCCCTGGCCCCCCCCCCCCCCCCCCCCCCCCCCCCTGCATACCACACATGGAGGGACGTCCTCGGATCTTGAGGTCGCCCTGTGGTCGCCTTTCGCCAGGACGGCTTTCTGGGCTGGTTTAGGGCCTTTTTCTTAGGCGCTTGCATGCTCGGGAACGTTTTGGCTGTGCAGCTTTTTCATGTTTAGAAACAAGCGCGTTTTCCAAAGAGTGAAGGGCCAGCGCATGTTCAGTGGCGTTGTCAACATTCCAGGACGCGTTCAGGGACGTCTTCCACGAGTCTTGAGGTCGCTGTCTGGTTGCCTCTTGCCAGAATGGCTTTCTCAGCTTGTCTGAGGTTCATGCACGCTGGTTTCTTCTAAGCTATACACCGGGTCGTTGTGTAGAAACGCGCGCTTTCGGAAGAGTGAATCGCCTTGCACATGCCCCGTTCGGCTGCCAGCGTGACGCTCAAGAAAAGAGTTCATGCAGCGTCGCTTTTCTGGTAGTCTGTTGCTTCATGTGAAGCTTCCGCCGCCCCTGGTCCTTGAGTGAATTAACGAGAATGAACCCTGTTATGAGAACAGTGTCCCGAGGCGTAGCACCTCCGAGGCATTGTCCCGTTTAAATACTTTCAGAGCTGTTATTGTGGCCACCGGTCCAGCATCCTGGCCATGTTCCAGGCCTCCAGTGACCTCACTGCCGGGGAATGTACTAATCCCGCAAGCTCCAGTGGCTAGTTAGCTTTGGGGCGTACTGTATTTTATGTTTGACTCCATAGCATGCTTGGTAAGAAATATCTGGGGCAGTTCATGGCCCGTATTGTGAGAGTGTCCGCATTATCGGAACCAGCTCCTGTCGTTTCGTATGGCGCCAAGTGCTGTGCCGGTGTGCCTCGTTTCTCCGTAGCCAGGTGTCTCCACAAGAGTAACGCGTTTGACATAACAAACTTGGGTGTGCCGCATACATGTTCACAATGCTGGAACATGCTGCGCGGGACGTCGCTTTTCTGGAGACGCACAATCAGTGACGGCTGTATATTCCGAGCTGACTACAATGGACGGGTTGTATTGTGAGCATTTTGTATTAGAAGGGACTCGATGCCCCAGAACGTCCGTTTGGCGCGCCAGCTTGGCTGCATTCGTTTGGTGTGAAGCACTTGCTCGGAACTTGCGTGTTGTGGTGAGGGACAGGCACAAGACCTACTGTAAATTTAGTTGCTACTCAATAGCAACAGAGATATCATTGGCCAAGCTGTGCAGTTCAAGGATCCTCTATTTCTCTAGAAACGCCTTTCTACAAGCCCATAGGAACTTTTTTTTTCTTTTGTTTTCCCTGTATTGAGAACCAAATCTAGTGTCCATTTAGTGCTTACGCAAGGAATCATGGTGTAATCTACGTAAAATCAAAAAAAGACCGCGCCCCACAATTTTTTTTCTCTTTCGTCTGAGTAGCCTGAAATATTTAGCATTTTTATTTTTCTAAAGGAATCTAGCCGTAACTAACCGTTCAGGTTCCTAGCATGCACGACAGAGGCAGCAGCTTGTGCATACCTGCGCGCGACACGTGAAAGAATTTGGAAAAAACAACGACGGAATATTGAAAAGCAATGAAAGGAAAGCGAGGGAGTGGTTAGCTGTTCACCTTGCAGAAAAAAACGCTGCGAGGGCAACGCGACACTGAAAATATCTATTTGTCCTGTTTTCCTCTGGCTCCGATCTCAAGGTTTTCTTCCGAGAAAACCCAGTGGCGTGGACGTCCCCAACACGCGACCATAATGACCGGCGGCGGACCATCTCCGAGAGGTCCACGCGAAGGGACGTCTCAGGGAAGGCTATTTTTGGTCAAATGTCAACCCTAATTACGTTTTTTTTTTTCTCATTTGTCTACGCATTTACGCGCAACGAACCGAAAATAGTTACATCCGCCAAAAGGGTCCAAAGCGCTGCGAAAAAGAGGCCTTCAAGAGCACCGAGTTTTGGCCTGGACATGCCCTTTTGCCTTGTGTTCACAAAATGTGAGTCTTACACTGGAGTCCGACGAGCGGGAATCTTTTTGGACCTTCGGACATTCTGCGTCCCTGTTAGATAGTGTATAATTGCGTTCTTTTAATATCGCGGGTGCATTTTTGAGGCTGCAGTCGACAAGGGCGCCGCACGCCACCGAGTCTCCTGCGACGTTCGCTTCACGCAGTACTTGGACGCGAAACGGTAGACCATTACGACCTTCTGTTTGCTCCACAAGCGGAGCGCATATGCAGTGACTCTGTTACACCAAGTACTACCTTAGATGTCGAGGTGGGACAAGAGGGACGGTATCGATCGTTCTTGTCCCGGTACCTTAGATGCATTCATCCATTCTCGACGAAGATGGAACAATAGATTATGGAAAGCTGTAGACACACTGCCCATACATCATGCAGAAGACTCTGTGTTTTCTTCAGACGCCATGGCGAAATTACCCAAGGAAACGCGTTTTCGAAACATGTTTGCCTCATTTATACACATGTATGCGTCGAACATGTCTGCAGGCAGTCCTTGTATAACCATTGGTAGAGGAAAGTCATACGAGAGAAAAACATGCTTCAGACAGTGCCTGACACACTTTCTTTTGTATGGTGTCTTTGCTGCGTGACTGCGGCTCAGATGTCAACAGGACATCACTACCACATCCAGAAGCATGTCTGTTTGGAGCATGTGTGTTCCGTTGGGGGAGGAGGACAACTTACTAAGTCACTTTCAATTAATTCGCCCGCCCTTCATGTGTCTTCATGATTTCGTTCGGAGTTTTATTTTTCTCGTTGTTTGGTGTTCTGCACGTCTCGAAGGCCTCATCTTGGACAGTGTACGGTGTATAGGAGTGGTTATAATGGGACAACGTTTACGCTGGTGGGGTCTCTAGAATTTCTGCTAGGAATTCCGCGGCGCGCTGCACCACTGATCCGTCAACGGAAGGACGGAAGAGTAGGCGTGGATGATCCCGACGGCTGTGGGCCGACGACGCATCTACGTGAACCACCTGGAGAACGTCGCTTCTTGGGCGGACTCTGCCGCCCGCCATGTCTGTGCCGCGTGGGCCCCTTGTCGCGCGTGCACACAGTGAACCGCTCTTGTTTCTGGAATTTGCATTCGCGGCGCGAAACTAGCAGCCGCCCACGCAAAAGCAAGACGACCTCGAACGTCTTTCGTAGTCCCGGTTACGTCATCCTACGCGATGTATGTTTGAGCTGCTTAAAACACTAGTTAGACACCGAGGTGGGAAGCTTGCCCCATTGCGTACTATACTAGGCTCAAACTACACGAATAACAGAAAGTGTTTCGATGGGAGTTCTTGGTCTTAAGTAAGAATTGCCAAGACAGCTGTCATTAGCTGGGTCACGCTTCAAGCACCGTTCTTGTTGCATTGCTCTCGCTCCTGTACCCCTGTATATGGTGTACTTTAGTCGATAAATAATCTACCACTTTACAGAAAGTTGTGCGTATTTCTGGTAATAGTCCTTTTTAAAATCTTACCCTCTGTCGGAGCGTCTGGTCATCCTAGACGTTGGCGGACACAACGGAAGGCTGTATTACGGCTTCGTCATATGTGTAGTTTAAGACTTGCGTGTTTCGGGACGCCGGTTGTCGCATTGTCCAGCAGGTTCACACCTCCTACGGTCAGTGGCAGCCTAAACGCCGGCGATGGCGAGTAGCGAACATTTTATTATACTGCTACACAGCCAATGAGGTTGCGACATCAGCCAATGAGAACACGGATAGACAAATCACAAGAAACCCCACCCCGAGTTTGTTACGCCGACCGTGACAATAAATAAATTACCATCTTCGAAAATGGCGTATATACTCCAGAACAACAGTCGTTACGGGATTTTTATAAATAAGAAAGCCGAAAAGGCAAACACCGCGTTTACCTAAAGATGAGGTCTGCGATGTGACACTGAGCTCGATGTGAGCGTGTGAAACGTCCCGTTCACAGTAGAGATGTTAGGTTGTTTTGTCCCGGACCTCGAGGAGCACTTTGAGAATGTCTATACCGTCGGGGACCGGGGTGGAATCGTGGGTGAGAATGCCAGTTGCTGGTTGGACTTTTTGAATGAGACTTTTTGCTACGTCTTCATCTTATAGTCGATGACGAAGATTAACTCGACAATTTTCTGTCTGGTCAGGGGTGATGACAGTGCGCGAAAACCTGTCTCATCTAACCGGGGCTTAGTTAACATCCAGTTGGGTGCAGGCACCGATGCACTCTCGACCAATCGGAGGGAAGGTCACCACTTTCGCCGAAAGATAAGAAGGTCAGGTCCCACAGCTTTAAACATCCAAACGCCCATCTTCGTCTGTTTGTGTCAAAAATAAATAAATAAACGGACCCCGACGATCCCGGCGAGAATCGCCAAAACGTGCTTTGCTAGGAGACTTCCTTTCGCGAACGACGCGCAGGACTCAAGCTGCATGTAGACTTCTCGCGAACGCCCTAGACCCTTTTACT